CTTAACGGGTTCAGGACCCAGAACCAACAAGTCCAAATCCACACCCTGTATACTAAGGTTGTATTGGTTGAGGACTGGTGGGTTAACCCAGCCTGTTGCTGAGTCTAAATTGTGGTGTTAAAGGAGGGAAAAGATGAGTTGAAAGGAGACAAAAAAGGAAACAACAAAAAAGACTAAAATGAATCTGCATTTTAAAAAGTAGTGGCAGCAAACTGAAGCAATAGTGGAGGAGCAAGTAAAAAAGACACATACACAAGAAGATTATTTGAACACTATAGTGTGACTATGTTAGAAATAAAAAGATTCTTCCAAACTAGCTTTCGCTCAATCAACCTTCGTTATCTGGTTGTTGACAGGTAACAGGTATTTCATCAAATCATTAGATAACAAGAAATTGTTCACTGTATTGACATATGCCGTCACATGACAATTAATGAGCAATCCTTCAAATAGAGTGGTAACTCAACTTATCTTGGAAGAAAAAGTTTTGTAAACAGCACAAAAGATAAAATTGTAACTTATCTAGGAAGGCCCTTGGTGTTTAAGAGGAGATTTCAATGTCATTAGATTCACAGATGAGACTAATAGTGTGAGGAGAAGCAGTTAGAAGACAAGAAAGATGGGAGTGGAAGCAGTTAGAAGACATCCTATTCAAAGAGGAAGTCGGCTGGAGGCAAAAGTCTAAACACAAGTGGGTGAAAGAGGGTGCTAGAAACACTAAATTTTTTTATGCAATGGCCAACAGTAGAAGGAAAAGTCTGATTTCTAAGTTGGTGGTTGATGGGGTGTCATTAACTCAGCAGGATGAGATTGCTAAGGCTTTTGTGGAGAAGTTTAAGTCATTGTTTAGAAGGCCCTTAAATCAGAAAATCTGGGTAAAAGGGTTAGATTGGCTGAAATTGTTTGAGGAGAAGAAGAGGTGGCTCGAAAGGAAGTTTGAGATGGAGGAAATAAGGGAAGCAGTTTTTTCAATGGATAGATCTAAACCACCAGGACCGGATGGATTTACCATGGCTTTTTTACCAAGGCTGTTGGAAGATACTAAAGCAAGATATCCTTAAAGTGTTCAATGAAATTTTCCAGAGGAGAGTGATAAATTCAAGGCTAAACTCAACTTTTATTGCTTTGGTCCCAAAGAAAGTGGGAGCAAGTCATCCAAGAGACTTTAGATCAATCAGTTTAGTTAACAACTTGTATAAAATCATTGTGAAGGTCTTGTCTAGAAGAATTAGAAAGGTGCTTCCGGAGCTAATTTCACAGAATCAAGGGGCATTTGTGGGGAACAAACAAATTGTGGATCAAATTTTAATTGCCAATGAGTGTGTGGAGGATCTGAGGAGAACAAGGAGGAAAGGGATTGTGTGCAAGGTGGATTTAGAGAAGGTAGACGACATGGTTGATAGGTCTTTTTATATGCAAGTGTTGGACTATTTTGGCCTTGAGCAAAAATGGTGTAAATGGATCCTGGGTTGCACCGAGACTTGTCATTACTCCATCCTAATAAATGGAATTGTAGTGGATCACTTCCCGGCTATTAGGGGAATTAGACAAGGGGACCCCCACCCCTCTCTCCATTCCTTTTCACCTTGATTGCAGAAGTGTTGGGGAGGCTAATTGAGAGAGATGATTCGAGAAGTCTTGTGAGAGGGTGGAAGGTTGGAAAATACAACATTCCTATCACCCACTTACAGTTTGCTAATGATACAATTATGTTTTGTGAGGGGGAGGATGTGAGATGGGCTAGAAACTTGAAGTTGGTGATTCAAGTGTTTGGACAAATGTCAAATATAAAGGTGAACTTTGATAAGAGTTGTGTGGTGGGGGTCAATATGGAAGAGAGAACTATAATGGAGAGGGATGAAGCTTTGGGTTGTATGGTGTTTGTAGGTGTTCAAGACTGCTATCAGTCTTGAGCACTACTAAATTTCAGGTTCRAAAAGAAGAGAAAGTATAGAGGAAAGAGGAGAAAGAGTAGTGAGAGAGCAGTAGAACACAAACTTTGAAAGGAATGACAAAATCTCAATGTTCTGCTGCTGCCACTTCTAATTAATATTTATAGGTTATGCCAGTTACATGAAAAGGACAAATCTGCCATTGGTATTTACATAACAAATAAAACAATATAAAACTGAAATATAAATAACAACTGGAATAACAAATTGACCACTAGCTAACCCTAGGATGACTAGAACACATTCTACCCTACRGAYARAGTGGGACCATAGYTG